CTGTTTAGTTTTCTTTTTAAACCCGTGCCTCTTTTAATTGCAAGCCGAGGGCAGCTTCTGACCTGGGCAAACAGTAGGCCCCGATCCTTCTCGTGACATCCCTTCTTTTGAAAATACAGAGCCTCCGACGCTCCCAGCGCCTCCCATCTAATTCTATCAGCTGGATATTGCTGTTGTTGTTATTTATTAAATTTATATACCGCTCTCCATCTGTAGATCTCAGGTGGTCCACAACATTTAGAGTGGGGGAATCCTGGAATAATTAGCAGATGATAAGTAAAAAACAATCTCCGAAAACACTATTAACAAAGCAGCGGTCCTACTCGGGAGGTTTTTAAGCAGAGGTTGGGTGGCTCTCAAGGAGTCTTGAGTTGTGGTTCATGCATTGCTGGGGGTTGGTCTAGATGAGCTCTGGCAATCCCTCCGAACACTACGAGTAGTCTGTGATTCACTGTTCTGGTGGGTGCCAGGGTGGCACAGCTGTATTTCACGGTCCTCTCTCTCTCTCTCTCCAGGATTCTACGTTCCCCACTGATCTCTCCAGCAACTCCCTCTTCTCCTCCCCGGCCGACTCCCTCTCGGACATCGCCGACGCTCAGGAATTCCTCCCCGCCGACAGCCTCAGTCGCGTGCCGACGATATGGGACATCACCCCGCAGCAGAACCAAATAGAGGTCTGTCCCTGGCCTTCCCACCCCTTGCTCTGTCGCAACGCCTTCCCGTCAACTTCACACAACCTCCTGCAATAATTGGCAGCGGTGCTCCTAACTTCCTTTCCCCCATTGCCCCGTCTGGTGAAACCAGGCGCTTTCAGACTTGCCCGTACGAGCGGCACCGATGGGTGGGCCAATTAACCAGCCCCCGCTGATAGGAACAAAACCCGCAGCTACCTGCGGGCTCGATGCGGCTGGGCTTTGAAATGCACAAAACTTCCCCTGCTTTTCTCTCCAACTTCCTGTTAGTAATTGTGACTCAGGCTTCCAGTAATGGAAGAGGCTTTTAAAAAAAAGAAAGAGAGAAAGGAAGAAAGAAAGAAAGCCACCCTTTTAAAAAAAGGGAAATAATTGCAGTGTGTTTGTGCCTGCCTGATCTTCCCATATTTCACTTCTGCTTCAAGAATGCCTCGCAAACCTCTCTTGTCTCAAAGCTGTTTTATAGCCATTTGGCTTCTGCGAAGTCTAAGGAAAAGGCACTTTGGTCTGGAATCTTTGTAGTTGTTATGGGTGTGTTTGTGTGTCTAGGGAGAGCTTGGGAGATGAATATTCCCTGGTTGACTTTGATTACCCAAAGCCAAGGGTGAAGGAGCACAGTTAGGTTGATCACATCCTCGCGGGCTAGAAACCATATAGGTGCACAATCTCTCTCTTTAAGACGCAATTACTACTGGCCCAGAAATGTTGGGAGTCGTAAGGCGACGAGGAAGGAAGAATTGGGGTTTAAGAATAATCAGTCATCATTGCAGCGATACCTTGGTAGTCGAACAGCTTGGCTCCTGAACAAATCGACTCCCAAACGCCGCAAACCTGGAAGTGAGTGTTCCGGTTGGCGAACGTTTTTCAAAAGCCGAACGTCCGACACAGCTTCCGATTGAGCTCAGGAAGCTCCTGCAGCCAATCGGAAGCTGCGCCTTGGTTTTCGAACCGTTTTGGGAGTCGAACACACTCCCAGAACAGATTAAGTTCGAGAACCAAGGTACCACTGTATTAGTAATAATAAATAATAATCGAAAGAAATGCAATGGGAAAGGAAGAGAACTAGGGAAGTGTGGGGTTCATTATTTATAGCTTGATTTATTTTACATGATAGCCTTATTTAATTGCTCGCCCTTCATCCTAAGTCAGGTCGAGGCAATCACGAAACTTTTATAATAATAATACTACTAATGGGTGGCGCTGTGGGTTAAACCCCAGAGCCTCTTGGGCTTGCCGATCAGAAGGTCGGCAGTTCGAATCCCCGCAATGGGATGAGCTCCCGTTGCTCGGTCCCTGCTCCTGCCAACCTAGCAGTTCGAAAGCACGTCAGAGTGCAAGTAGATAAATAGGTACCGTTCCGGTGGGAAGGTAAACGGCGTTTCCGTGCGCTGCTCTGGTTCGCCAGAAGCGGCTTGGTCCTGCTGGCCACATGAGCTGGATGCTGTATGCCGGCTCCCTCGGCCAGTAAAGCAAGATGAGCGCTGCAACCCCAGAGTCGGTCACGACTGGACCTAATGGTCAGGGGTCCCTTTACCTTTACCTAACAACAACAACAACAATAATAACAATAACAACAACAACAGCAATTATTATTATTTATACTCCGCCCATCTGGTTGGGTTTCCCCAGTCACTCTGGGCGGCTTCCAACAAAATATTAAACATTAAAAGCTTCCCTAAACAGGGCTGCCTTCAGATGTCTTCTAAAAGTCGGATAGTTGTTTTTCTCTTTGACATCTGGTGGGAGGGCATTCCACAGGGCGGGTGCCACCACCGAGAAAGCCCTCTGTCTTGGCTTCTCGCAGCGAGGGAACCGCCAGAAGGCCCTTGGCACTGGACCTCGGCACTCCTCTGTTGTCCCCTGAGACGAACAAATACTGACTGGTATCTCCATTTGACCCGCCCCTCCAGCTTCCTTAAGTAGGTCAGCGGAAGAGATCATTTATTGCATTTATCTCCCACAACAACAGCAAAAATCTTTCAATATAGGACAACGAAAAAGAGAAGCGCTATCCCTACTGCATCTCCAACAGCCAGGTACCTTAGATAGCCCTTTTTAAAACAAACCTAATGGGGTCCAGTGTATTCTAAATATTATTTTTTGTTGTATGAGCCTCAATTTCAGGTCCGGGGACACCTTCGTAATAGCAGCTGAAACAGTTTCCCATGCCTCGTATTTTTATTCTTCTCTTGTCTTTCACGTTTCCTCCTCAGCGATTGCCTCCGGATTTGGAAGGCTTAGAAGGGCTACAGGGCATTGACAGTCACCTCACAGCCGCTCCTCAAGATACCTCTCTTCTTTCCACCGTTCAGGTGAGGGGTGGATTTCTGCAGGGTCTCGGAGACTCATTTCAAGTCATTTCCAGAACCGATGAATGCCATAATAGACTCTGCAGCCTGTTCCGATACCACATTTTAGAACAGTACCTACGCACAGCTGAGGGCGCATCAGGCTTGCCTCACTGGGTCACAGCCATATATTTCTACCATTCCCATTACTCTGCTTTTATTAATCCCAGTCCTGTGAACTTTGGTAATACTTCCTTGAGCAGGAATCCGTTTAACTTTGCGTTAATCCGGTGGTTCTCAACCTGTGGGTCCGCAGATGTTGTTGGACTACAACTCCCATCATCCCTGAGCTCTGGCCTTGCTAGCTAGGGATGATGGGAGTTGTAGTCCAACAATATCTGGGGACTCACAGCTTGAGAACCGCCGCGTTCATCTAAAGAAATGCACAGCCAACATACCAAAATGAAGATTGTTTCCAGAGGCAAATAACAGGCAGTCATATCTCATTCATGACCATTGTTTTATACATACAAAAGATGCGTAAAGCAGTAAAAAAAACCTCCAAAAGCCTCTATCCAGTAAGGAGTCCTTATAGGCATTTATGAAATACTATCCAAAATAGAAGTGGCGCTGTGGGTTAAACCACAGAGCCTAGGACTTGCCGATCAAAAGGTCGGCAGTTCGAATCCCCGCAATGACGGGGTGAGCTCCCGTTGCTCGGTCCCTGCTCCTGCCCACCTAGCAGTTCGAAAGCACGTCAAAGTGCAAGTAGATAAATAGGTACCGCTCCGGCGGGAAGGTAAACGGCATTTCTGTGCGCTGCTCTGGTTCGCCAGAAGCAGCTTAGTCATGCTGGCCACATGACCCGGAAGCTGTACGCCGGCTCCCTTGGCCAGGAAAGGGAGATGAGTGCCGCAACCTTGGAGTCGGCCACGACTGGACCTAATGGTCAGGGGTCCCTTTACCTTTATCCAAAATAGAGGCAGTGAAGCTTGAAGAGGCTGGCTGGCTGATGACCGTTTTGAAAGCTTCCTTTCAATGTGGGGACCACAAAGCGTTATGCAGAACACTAAACATTCATATTGTTCCCCACTAAGGCGGCAACCCTGCACACCTACCTGGGAGTAAGCCCAGTTTAACTTTGGGGCTTACTTCCCAGTAGACAAGCATATGATTGCGGTGTAAGTGACCCACATGCTGATTCCAGCGTATCAAACAAAATAATTTAGAGCAGAGCATGTATACTAACGGGATGCGGGTGGCGCTGTGGGTTAAACCACAGAGCCTAGGACTTGCCGATCAGAAGGTCAGCGGTTTGAATCCCGCAATGGCGGGTTGAGCTCCCGTTGCTCGGTCCCTGCTCCTGCCAACCTAGCAGTTCAAAAGCACATCAAAATGCAAGTAGATAAATAGGCACCACTCCGGCGGGAAGGTAAACGGCGTTTCCGTGCGCTGCTCTGGTTCTCCAGAAACGGCTTAGTCCTGCTGGCCACATGACCCGGAAGCTGTACGCCGGCTCCCTCGGCCAGTAAAGCAAGATGAGCGCCGCAACCCCAGAGTCGGTCACGACTGGACCTAATGGTCAGGGGTCCCTTTACCTTTACCTTTTATGTATACTAACAACCCCAGGTGAAACAGGCCATTCCCCAAATTACCTTGATAATGGGCTTGAAAATGGGAGAGGTTAATAGGCACTCTTATACCCGGCCTGCTTGGAAGTTTGCATGGCTGCCTTTCGTTATTTGCATGTGCCGAGAAAAACAATGTGAGGTTTTACTGAGCTTTGAAAGTATTTTCACTCTGCGGAGATCAACAGCAAAACCGTCTCCTTACAAGACACGGCACAAAAGGAAAAAGGAGTTGGGTTCAGAGGAGGAGGAGAGGAAAATAAAAAAAAGCAAGCTCGGGTGCTTGTCTCTGATTTCAAAGTTGTCTTTTAACGACCATTGATTGATTTGGTTTGTCATGCTTCTAGGCTCAAAAGCGGCTCACAAACAATGAATAAGATAACATAGTAAAATAGAATGGCTCAGTCGGTAGAGCGTGAGACTTGATCTCAAGGTCGTGAGTTCGAGCCCCACATTGGGCAAAAGATTCCTACATTGCAGGGGGTTGGACTAGATGGCCCTTGCGGTCCCTCCCAACTCTATACAGTTCTAGGATTCTATGAAATACAGAATGAATCACATAATATAATTAACGTAACCGATAAAATGATTACAATATATAAAACTGTGAATGAAACAGTAATACATTACAGCAAAACCCCATGTTACAAGATCGACAGATCAATACAGCATTCATAATCTGCGAAACAGTATTAACAACGTGAACAAAATAGCAACTAAGAAAAACTCAGCTAAGCACCTAGGCTAGGTTAATCGGTAGCTGCTAGCCGCAACGGAGGCACAGTCGCAGGCAGCGATGCTTCTGATTCCCAGTTGCTGGAAACTGCAGGAAGGGGGAGAGTCGCTCTTGGGTTCGAATCCTGATCGCAGGGGTTTTCTATCGGGGCATCTGGTCGGCCGCCGTAAGAACAGGATGCCGGGGTTAGATGGGCTCTTCTTAATGCTCCTCCTGGCTTGCATTCCTTGGAAGGTGCCTGCCTAACATGTTTGTGACTCTCCCGTTCCCCCCCCCCTTTCCGTTCCAGTCCCAAACTCAGGTAGAGGAGGAGGAAGAAGGGGACGACGACGAGGCGGAGGAGCTGGGCCACGCGGAGACGTATGCTGACTACGTCCCTTCCAAATGTAAGAGGGGCGCGGGGCCCTTGCCTTGATAAATTGTATTTTTAAAGGGTTTGGTTTCTTTATCCCAGCCAAACAGGCTCCCAGAAGCAGCTCATGTAATATCAGAGTTGTGGCACAGCTAGCATTTTTATTATTATTATTATTAATTACAGTTGTACCTTGGTTCTCAGGGATGTGGGTGGCGCTGTGGTCTAAACCACTGAGCCTTGGGCTTGCCGATCAGAAGGTCGGCGGTTCGAATCCCCACGACGGGGTGAGTTCCTGTTGCTCAGTCCCTGCTCCTGCCAGCCTAGCAGTTCAAAAGCACGTCAAAGTGCAAGTAGATAAATAGGTCCCGCTCCAGGGGAAGGTAAACGACGTTTCCGTGCGCCGCTTTGGTTCGCCAGAAGCGGCTTAGTCATGCTGGCCACATGACCTGGAAAATCTCTCTGTGGACAAAGGCCGGCTCCCTCGGCCAGTAAAGCGAGATGAGCGCCGCATCCCCAGAGTTGTTCGTGACTGGACTTAACTGCCAGGGGTCCTTTACCTCATTTTACCTTGGTATTACAGTGGTACCTTGGGTTACATACGCTTCAGGTTACATATGCTTCAGGTTACAGACTCCACTAACCCAGAAATAGTACCTCGGGTTAAGAACTTTGCTTCAGGATGAGAACAGAAATCATGGTCCGACGTCGTGGCAGCAGCAGGAGGCCCCATTAGCTAAAGTGGTGCTTCAGGTTAAGAACAGTTTCAGGTTAAGAACGGACCTCCAGAACGAATTAAGTACTTAACACAAGGTACCACTGTATTATTATTATTATTAATCACCCTCCTTTATGCAAGTTGGGGAAGGCCGCGATTAATTGCAAAAACACAGTGCTGCCACTGTAGGGAGCAGGCAGCAGGGGCGACAAACGTCAAAACAGCTGACAATTCCCCCTCCCCTTTCTCCTTTCTAGCCAAGCTGGGGAAGCAGCACCCCGACCGAGTGGTGGAGACGAGCACCCTCTCCAGCGTCCCCCCTCCGGACGTCACCTACACCCTCTCCCTCCCTGCCTCAACCGCTGACAACGGATTACTCTCTGCACTACAGCTGGAAGCGATTACCTACGCCTGCCAGGTATGCGGGAAGCGATTATTTAGGCCTCCCAGGTATGTGGGAGGCGGTTACTTAACGCCTGCCAGGTTTGCAGGAAGCCATGCCAGAGCTTTTTGAAGTTCCAGTTAGGTTTGTAATAGCGACATAGGAAGCTGCGTTCATGATTGTCTGTGCTGACCGACACTGCTTTAGCCTGTTCAGATTTTATAATAATAATAATTTATTATTTATATCCCGCCCATCTGGCTGAGTTTCCCCAGCCACTCTGGGCGGCTCCCAATCAAGTGTTAAAAACAGTACAACCCTAAATATTAAAAACTTCCCTAAACAGGGCTGCCTTCAGATGTCTTCTAAAAGTCAGAAAGTTGTGTATTTCCTTGACATCTGATGGGGGGGGGCATTCCACAGGGCGGGCGCCACCACCAAGAAGGCCCTCTGCCTGGTTCCCCGTAATCTCACTTCTCGCAGGGAGGGAACCGCCAGAAGGCCCTCGGCGCAAGACCTCAGTGTCCAGGTAGAACGATGGGGGTGGAGACGCTCCTTCAGGTATACAGGACCGAGGCCGTTTAGGGCTTTCAAGGTCAGCACCAACACTTTGAATTGTGCTCGGAAACGTACTGGGAGCCAATGCAGATCTCTCAGGACTGGTGTTATGTGGTCCCGGCAGCCACTCCCAGTCACCAGTCTAGCTGCCGCATTTAAAAAAAACAAAAAACGGGCGCCCTTAACTGGTTTTTAATGACGGGCGCTATGGGCCACTCTGCGAGAGGAAGCAACCGACAAATATAAATAAATGAACAGTAGCAGTGTTCTGTGCTTTGTGCAGGAATAATTCCTCTGTTTAGAAGACGCATTCTTTCCTGAGACGAGAAATGCCTCTCCTTCGATCAGAAGGATCAGGAACTTGTACCCCCCCCCCCCCAGATATAATTAGAGGAATTTAGAAGAGGCATTCTCTCCTGAGAGCAAAGAGTGCCTCTCCTCCGATCAGAGGCGGGGGAACTTGTATCCCCCCAGATATAATTAGAGGCATTTAGAAGAGGCATTCTGTCCTGAGAGCAAGGAGTGCCTCTCCTTCGATCAGGGACAGAGCAACTTGTATCCCCCCAGATATAATTAGAGGCATTTAGAAGAGGCATTCTGTCCTGAGAGCAAGGAATGCCTCTCCTTCAATCAGAGACGGGGAAACTTGTATCCCCCCAGATATACCGTATTTTTTGCTCTATAAGACGCACCAGACCACAAGACGCACCTAGTTTTTGGAGGAGGAAAACAAGAGAAAAAATATTCTGAATTTCAGAAGCCAGAACAGCAAGAGGGATCGCTGCGCAGTGAAATCAGCAATCCCTCTTGCTGTTCTGGCTTCTGGGATAGCTGCGCAGCCTGCATTCGCTCTATAAGATGCACACACATTTCCCCTTACTTTTTAGGAGGGAAAAAGTGAGTCTCATAGAGCAAAAAATACGGTAATTGGAGGAATTCAGGAGAGGAGAGGCATTCTCTCCTGAGAGCGAGGAATGGTGCTCCCTCAATCAGGGACAGGGAAACCAGGGACTGCCTCTGGCTCCACAACTTCTGGAAGGCTGTGCCCCCACCCCTGCAGAATGCTGCCACCCCTCTGCTCCTAACCTGCCCCCCTAACCTGCTTTCCCGTTCCTGGACTTGCAGCAACACGAAGTCCTGCTCCCCAACGGGCAGAGAGCCGGCTTCCTCATCGGGGACGGCGCCGGCGTCGGGAAAGGCCGGACGGTCGCAGGGATCATCTTCGAAAACTACCTGAAGGGGAGGAAAAAGTCCCTGTGGTGAGTGCGCAAGGCTTGTTTTGAAGGTTCGGGCATTCGACCGGGGTCTCTCTCGGAGCTCTGGAGGCTCGATGAGGCCGTCGCACCTGCAGGAATTGAATCGTGGTGTTTATCTTCTGAGCAGCCATTTTGGTGTTTTTTTTTGGGGGGGGGGACAACAGATGGCAGTATCTTAATATGTCACGAGGTGGGACAGACCCTTTTCTCATCACCATATTATCCCCCCCAGCTAGGCTCGCCAAGGCTTGCATTGTATTAAGCAGAGGGTGGGGAGACTGGGAACCTTTTTATTTCATTTATTGCATTTCTATGTACCACCTACTTTTGTTCCAAGTAGCTCAAGGTGGTGTACGTGGTCCTGCTCCTCCACATTTCATCCTCACAAGAACCCTGCGAGGGAGAGATTCGAACCCTGGTCTCCCCAGGTCATAATAATAATAAGAAGAAGAATAATTTATTATTTATACCCCGCCCATCTTGCTGGGTTTCCCCAGCCACTCTGGGTGGCTTCCAGCAGAATATTAAAAACACAATAAAACATTAAAAACTTCCCTAAACTGGGCTGCCTTCAGTTGTCTTTTAAAAGTAAAACAGTTGTTTATTGCCTTGACATCTGCTGGGAGGGTGTTCCACAGGGCGGCGCCACCACCGAGAAGGCCCTCTGCCTGGTTCCCTGTAACCTCACTTATCGCAGCGAGGGAACCGCCAGAAGGCCCTCGGGAGATGGACCCAGGTGTCCGGGCTGGACGATGGGGGTGGAGACACTCCTTCAGGTCTACTGGGCTGTTTAGGGCTTTAAAGGTCAGCACCAACACTTTGAATTGTGCTCGGAAACGTACTTAACACTGTTACACCACAGAGGCTCTCTCTCTCTCTCTCTCTCGGTGAAAACAAGGAACACAAATGTATATTACAGAGGGGGAATTATGAGTGTATTGTAGTGTTCAGAGTACCGGACTACCCCCCGGGAAAGACCAGGGTTCAAATCGCCCACTTGGCCATGAAGCCCGCTGGGTGAGGCAAGCCCGTCCCTGTCTCCCAGCCTAGCCTGCTTCGCAGGGTTGTTGTGCGGATAAAAAGGGGGGAAGGGCTGTGATTTCTTCTGGGCAGCCTCTCAGGGGCCAGAGACGAAAGCGAGCAGGGTTTTTACCTTAGTACCGCCTCTGCGCTGATCCGCAGATCCTCCCAGGCCTTTACGCTCCCCGCTCTCGTTTGTCAGGTTCAGCGCCTCGAACGATCTCAAGTACGATGCTGAGAGGGACCTGAAGGATATCGATGCCCCTGACATTCCTGTGCATGCTTTAAACAAGGTATGGAGCAGTATCTCTCTCTCTCTCTCTCTTTCTCTCTCAATAGTTTTTATTAGATTTTACACATTCCTTAACACATTCCTTAATCACAAGTAATAAAAGTCGCACAAGGTTCTTCCGAATCTCAAGACTTCCCTCGTCCCCTCTGT